CTCCTGGGTTCAAGCAATTCTCCTGCGTCAGCCTCCTGAGTAGCGGGGACTACAGGCACGCGCCACCATGCCCAGCTAATTTTTGTATTTTTAGTAGAGACGGGGTTTCACCCTGTTGACCAGGATGGTCTCGATCTCTTGACCTCGTGATCCACCCGCCTCGGCCTCCCAAAGTGCTGGGATTACAGGCGTGAGCCACCGCACCCAGCCTGGCGTGGATTTTTATGCAGCAGCTGCTATCTCGCTTTTCCCCAGACTTCCTACAGCACAGTGGTGGGCCAGAGGCCTTGGTTTCTGGCACGAAAGTAAATACTAGGTGAAAGAACAGCTTCCATCGTGAACAGTGCCCAGGCCGGAGATTGAGGCCCAAAGGACTTGTTTCAGACCTGAGTTCAGGAAACCCAGACTCCTAGGAGAGGACATGGGCCGGGAGGATTTGACTTCAGGAAAGCGAAGCATGAGGGGCTTCCAGGCTTCCTGAGAATCTGGGAAGATCCTGGTCAGAGCCGAAGGTTTCTGACAGAGGTCAAAGGCCAAGAGCTACCTTACTGGTGGTCTAGGAAGCATGAAAGGCTTTCCTGCATGCTCTGAGGCCAGCTCCTGCTTCCCTGTCATTGAGTTCTTGAAGAATTTAAAGAAGCAGGTACTTGGGTCAGTGGGGACCTAATAAGATGAGGGTTCCAGGAATTTATCAGTGGTTACACTGACCTGAAGACTGAAGACATTGGCATCCGCAGGTAGCCGGGACAGGATGGGATGTCACCGTGGAGATGGAGGAAAGGAACAGTGCCAGAAATGGGATGGGTCAGGGTGTCCTAGAGACCGACTGTCACCGTGGAGCCACGACCATAATTCCTGTGAGGCTCCAGGACGCTGGAAGCCAGTCAGGACTGGTGGTCTTAGCAGGGCGGAAGGTCACACACAAGGAGAGCTGGGGTCCCGTGGCCTGGGAAAACAGAACCCTGAAGCAGAGCAGACGGTTTCTGTTGGTTTTCTGCTGCGGGGGAGGCTGGCTGAGGGATTGCCTAACTGAAATTTTGTGGTAACAGGCTGAAGGGGTTTGTCTTAGACAAGCACTAACGGAAGATCTCAGTGGTTGGGGAAGGAGTGTGTTTTTACAGTGAGGGTGAGCGTCCAGGTATCTGTGATTCTCTGGGGTCTCTTGCAGCATCTGCGCCAGGTCATGAAGGCGTCTGCAGGTGTTAGATGCCAAGAAAGCTGTAGAGTATCACCTGTTGCTCCGTTACCCACTTGGAACTGGTCCCTTGGTTTCACTGATCTGATCTGAGATTGTTCCTTTAAAGGCCACTGAGGCCTCTTTATGCAATCTCAGTGTCGGTTTCTGGCCCGTGTCACTGGATCTAGGCCTTTAAAGTGAAGCCTCACGTAAATATCTGGCTTCCCCTCTGTCTTGGTGTCTATGCCTGTGATTTCTGTGTCCTTCCTCTTTTCCGCTTCCCTTCCTCCTTCCTCTCCAGTGATTCTGGGCTCTGGAAGGAGGCTGGAGATGCTGACCAGTACTGCTGAATTCCCAGGCCAGAGCCTACGGTCCAAGGAGCCCCCAGTCAAGTGAGTCCAGTGTACACTTTGTTTCTGAATGAACTTGTGACAAATAAACTTGGAGAATGGAATTCTCGCCTGGAAAATCAAATGAGCCCTTCCAGAGTATTTAAAAACAAATTCTGTGCGGATTTATATATACAAACATGTATGCATATATGTACATATGAGTACACACATATGTGTGCACCACACACGTATGTATACACATATACTCCCTCGACCATGTTACATACATGTATACACTTATGTATGTGTCTCCGTCCCTCCCACTGATTTCAAGAATGATCTACTTGGTTACCAAGTCCTGTGATTTCATTGCCATCAATTTCCCTCAAATCCATTCTTCCCTGACTTGGCGACTTTCTTCATTGAGTCTCACATCTTCTCTTCCCAATAGAACTACAGCCGCCTAAGTGGTTTCCCTGCCTCTGGACTGGTTCCTATACATCCCTTTCTGCATCATAGCTGCCAGGGGCAGATTCTTGTAAAGCGGAATTCTGATGCTGCCAATCTTCTGCTCACAGAGCCACACTGTGAAGTCTTAGACCGAGGCCCTTTACTGTGAGCTCCCACCGCCCCACAGCTGCCTCTCCATGCATCGCCATCACCACCTCAGTCCCTGGCCCCTGACCAGGCCCTGTACCGTTCTTCACCTGTTCTTCTCCTGCCTGGAATGTGTTCTTATCCTCAGCCTGGTGACGCCCTGCCCATCCATCAGGGCTCTGCTTGCCGCGTCCCATGTCAGGTACTCCACCTTCTCCACCAGGCTCAGCAGCTTTCTCCTGGGTGCCCCCACAGCTCTGCATACTCTTCTGTTCTTGGCCCTTTTCATATTGCATTACAGTTGAGTAATTTTTTCTTTACGTTGTGAACTTTCTGAGACCCTGGACTGTGTCTGGCTCTGATTCTTAATTCCCTGGGCCTAGCACAGTGCCTGGAAGAAAAGTGGGCATTGAGTGAAGTTTGAATGAAGGAATTAGTGGAAGTGGAAGCTATTAAACTCAGCCGTGATTTGAAATTCTTTTTTTTTTTTAGACAGAGTCTTGCTCTGTCGCCAGGCGCCAGGCTGGAGTGCAGTGGCACGATCTCAGCTCACTGCAATCTCCGCCTCCTGGGTTCAAGAAATTCTCCTGCCTCAGCTTGCCGATTAGCTGGGACTACAAACACACGCCACCATGCCCAGCTAATTTTTGTATTTTTAGTAGAGACGGGGTTTCACCAAGTTGGCTAGGATGGTCTCAATCTCTTGACCTCGTGATCCGCCCACCTCGGCCTCCCAAAGTGCTGGGATTACCGGTGTGAGCGGCCGGGCCTAGCTGATTAAAATTCTTATAACCTCACCCTACAGGTATCTCTCCTGAGTTCCCCAGCCCCACCTTCAGTCCATGTGATTTCCAGGGATCACCAGAGTGATGTAAATATAGAACAGGTTTGTATTACCAAGTCTGCCTGTATAGGTAGTGTCTGGCCGAGAGCACGAGGGAGGCTTCTAGAAATGCTGTATCTTGAGTTAGCTCTGGCACGGGTTCACATAGTTTAAGCCTGACTCCGCGTTGACCTCTTTCCTACTTTCTTCCAAGTGTGGTCTCCTGTTCCATGTGCGACAGTGGATGTGCTTTAGTGAGCTTCGGAAGCATCCCTTGGAGAGCTGGGAGCAACCACAAATGCGACCGTTACCCCCAGGGCAGAGGCCTACACCTGAGCTTTCTCTTCTGGCGGTTGGCCTTTGAAGCCACTTGGCATTGGAAGTTCTCTTTGGAGTCAACTTCTTGGTGTCTGGAACCCTTCTTAGGATCATTTATCCCTTTTTCAATATCAAACATTTGCAGGTATAGCCCACCTGACAGATGTGGGGAGGTGAAGTGTCCAGTGCTGACTATACTGCAGTTGTGAGAGAAAAGATATGTAGCCCAAAATAATAGAGCATTGAGGATGTCACTGAGAAAGCAGGACGGAGGTACCCATGGGGGGACAAATGGGCTTCTTTTATTTATTTATTTATTATTGCATTTTAGGTTTGGGGGTACATGTGAAGAACATGCAAGATTGTTGCATAGGTACACACGTGGCAGTGTGATTTGCTGCCTTTCTCCCCCTTACCTATATCTGGCATTTCTCCCCTTGCTATCTCTCCCCAACTCCCCATCCCCTGCTGTCCCTCCCCTATTTCCCCCCAACAGACCCCAGTGTGTAGTGCTCCCCTCCCTGTGTCCATGTGTTCTCATTGTTCAACACCCGCCTGTGAGTGAGAACATGTGGTGTTTGATTTTCTGTTCTTGTGTCAGTTTGCTGAGAATGATGGTTTCCAGGTTCATCCACGTCCCTACAAAGGACATGAACTCATCATTTTTGATGGCTGCATAATATTCTGTGGTGTATATGTGCCACATTTTCCCTGTCCAGTCTATCGTCGATGGGCATTTGGGTTGTTTCCAGGTCTTTGCTATTGTAAACAGTGCTGCAATGAACATTTGTGTGCACATGTCCTTATAGTAGAACGATTTATAATCCTTTGGGTATATACCCAGTAATGGAATTGCTGGGTCAAATGGAATTTCTACTTCTAGGTCCTTGAGGAATCGCCACACTGTCTCCCACAATGGTTGAACTAATTTATACCCCCACCAACAATGTCAAATGGGCTTCTTTACTTGATATTGCTCCTCGAGCTGGTGCTCAGTCTGACTCTCCCAGTTCCATCTGATATGCAGAGATCGTGCCACCTTTCTACATGTGACATTTCACCACTTCTTACACGTGAACGAGGATGAGAGGGCCAGCCACCATGTGCAGGAGAGTCCCAAAGCCTTGGAAGGTAGCCTGTTGCCAGAAAGATAGAAGCAGAGGCTGAAGGGAAGCGTTTGTTCTTCCCTGCCTCGTCTAGTTCAGCTTCTAGAATGGTCCAGAGTTAAGGATACCCAATGAGGCAGGTATGGGTAACACCATTGTTTGGCACTATTTCCCATTTGTCTTCTGGAAGGGGTTCAATGGGAGAGAGAAACAAGTGTTTTGGGGAGGGAGGTCACAGAGTGACTTAGTCTTTTCTGGTTTACTATACTGTACTTTATAAATAGTTTGGCTTTGGAGTTTGGGAACTGAAGTGTCTGGTGCATGCTTTGTGAATCCTCTAGCCTGAGAACGCACTGATAGGATAGAATTTTCTAGGTCTTAGATACGTGGTGGTTTAGAGGTCACCTCTGAATAAGAACTCATGTTTTCCCACAGGCATAATGTGTTAGTTGTCTATTGCTGAGTAACTAATTATTACAAACATAGTGTCTTAATAGAATACTCACTTATTTTTTTTCTTTCTTTTTTTTTTATTATACTTTAAGTTCTGGGGTACATGTGCAAATTGTGCAGGTTTGTTACATAGGTATACACGTGCCATGACGGTTTGCTGCATCCATCCCCCCGTCATCTACATTAGGTATTTCTCCCAGTGTTATCTCTCCCCAATCCCCAGAATACTCACTTATTATCACACAGCTCTGTATGCTGTGAGCCTGGGCAGGTTGGCCAGATTCTTTGCTTGGAGTCTCCCAAGGCTGATGTTGACATGGTGGCAGTTTGGGCTGCTAGCTGGAAGCTCTGGGGAAGGATCTGCTTTCATGCTAGTTCAGGTTGTTGGTGGAGTTGAGTTGTTTGTGGTTGTAGGACTGAGGTCCCCGTTTCCTTGCTGACTGTTGCCCTCTCAGCCCCTGGAGGCCTTTTTCTGGTGCTGCCACGTGGTCACCTTCACCTTCAAAGCCAGCATGGCACATTGAATTCTTCTCATGCTTCAGAACTGTCTTAACTTCTTCTGCAACTAGCTGGAAAAAGCTCCCAGCGTCTAAGGTCTCCTGTGATTAGATCAGGCTTGGATAATCGCCCCATCTTAAGGTCAGCTGTGTCATATTAACATGATGCAGTCACAGGGACGATAGCTATATTCATAGCTTCCTGGAATTAGGGCAGGGGATCTTGGTGGTGGGAAGGACATTTTCAGACTTCTGCTTACCACATTGAATATGTTGGCAAGTAAAGAAAGTGACAATGTAGTATGCGTTACATATGAGCATATGTGTCTATATGGTGCCTGTTCATATATGTGTCTTTGCATGCATGTGTATGTTCTTATGTACATGAGGCATGTGTCTTCATGTGTTTGTGTGTATACATAAAACTGTAGGCAGCAATTATGTAATAGAATGAGCATGAGCAGTGGATTCAGAGGCAAAACACAACTGTGGTCTAGTTCCCACTCTGCTGTTTATTACTCGTGTGACCTTGGGCAATTCATGTAGCCTCCTGGAGCCTCAGTTTCCTCGTCTGTATGTGGGATAAGCCCTCGTTAACAATGAGGGTAATGATCCGTGTCTATCAGGGATATTGCCAGGATTAGGTAAGAGAGTATAGGGCAGTGCTTAGGTTCAGGACTCTGACAATTGAGCCAAACTCTAACTCAGCCACATACCAGCAGTGTGACCCTGGGCAAGTTACTTAACCTTTCTGAGCCTCAATTAGGCTTGTTGTGAGGATTAAAGAAAACCTTTAGCATAGACTCATAGTATTCAGTGGCTGTCACCTAGGATGTTGATGATAGCATTTGCGGTTTGCTGGATCCCACGTTTGTCTCTGGGTTAGCAGCGTGACTGCTTTTCTCTTCCTGCCCAGATGGAGTCTGCCTGCGTGACCATCCACGAGGCTCTGAAGACGGTCATTGACTCCCAGACGCATTACCGGCTGCGAGAGGCCCAGGACCGGGCCCGAGCGGAAGACCTCAATAGCCGAGTCTCTTACTGGTCTATCGGCGAGACGATTGCCCTGTTCGTGGTCAGCTTCAGCCAGGTGCTGCTGTTGAAAAGCTTCTTCACAGAAAAACGACCCGTCAGCAGGGCAGTCCACTCCTAGTCCAGGCATCCTGCTCTAGGGCCCCTGATGCCCCAGGCTGCAGCAGTCCCTAGGTCACAGCCTGCTGGGCAGGGTGGAGGCAGGCGATGCTGCTGTGGTGGCCCCTTGCCTTTCATGCCCATGCTTGATTCTCGCACCTCAGCAGCTGAAGGTCACAGAGCCCAGTAATCAGAAGGCATCCCGACTGCCTTATGTGTGCAGCGCTGAAAAGATGTTTACAGTTAGGCTAGGGTTTAGCCACTGTGGGAGGATGGTCAGGCCAGGATCCAATAACCTGGCTTTAGCGGGAACTCCAAGTACCCAGGCCTGTTGGGCAGCTCAGGGTCCTGCCTCTGTTTCATGATGCATGGGTCATTTGGCTTAGGTATCCTATCCCATATGGGGAAGAAAGGGGCTCTCAGTTCTGGCTCTTCCTCCCCTGAGGTTCTCCGTACCCGAGGAAACCAGGCCCTGAGCGACTTTGCAGATGTGTTCACCAGCATCAGCCATGCAAGCAGAACAGGATGGTGACTGGGTGCCCTTGGTGAGCTGTGTATTTCCTAGGAGGTAGAAAACCGTGGGAAACTGTGGCTAATAAAAACTAAGTGTGAGCATCCTGGAGGCTGTGCCCTTTTTTCTTTGCCCTAAAGAACTTAAGAGCTTACAGCAGGGCATGGGTGTGTGCATAAGTAATTAGAGTGTGAGGGAGAGTACCTAGGGAGGTGCCTGGGGTGCTGTGCAGAGAGGCGTAGAGTGGGCAAGAACCTCGCAGGTGAAGGAAGACAAAATAGGAAGTCTCGCATGTCACACACTATGTGTGCAACAGAAGTTTGCAAATGCTGTCTCCTCTGATCATACCTTCTCCCTGAAATCCAAGTGCTCAGTTTGCAAATGCTGTCTCCTCTGATCATACCTTCTCCCTGAAATCCACGTGCTCAGTTTGCAAATGCTGTCTCCTCTGATCATACCTTCTCCCCCATATCCACGGGCTCTGTTTGCAAATGCTGCTTCCTCTGATAATACCGTCTCCCTGATATCCACATGCTCTGCTCCATCATTTCCTTGTGACCGAAAGCCACATTATCAGTGAAGTCCCTCCCAACCACTCTTCAAGATGGTACCATCTCACTTACTCGGCCCTCCTTGTGCATTAGTGAGAAACAAATGCATACCAATTGAGCGTCTGCGTAGTAGGTCTGGAGGGAAGATACGATGTCTGCCCTAAAGGAAACCTATCAAATCTGAAATCCTGCACTGACTGGCAGGCATTAACGCATTGTAGGAAAAGAAGGGAAATAATCTAAAAAGATACCCCATAGGCTGGGCGCAGTGGCCATGCTTGCAATCCCAGCACTTTGCGGGACCGAGGCGGGAGAATCACCTGAGGTCAGGAGTTTGAAATCAACATGGCAAAACCTCGTCTCTACTAAAAATACAAAAATTAGCCAGGTGTGGTGGTGGGTGCCTACTCCCAGCTACTTGGGAGGCTGAAGCAGGAGAATGGCTTGAACCTAGGAGGCAAAGGTTGCAGTGAGCCGAGATTGCGCCATTGCACTCCAACCTGGGCAACAGCGTAAGACTCTGTCTCAAAAAAAAAAAAAAAAAAGATACCCATAAGTCTTACTTACTTAGCTAGATTGAAGGATAAATACTGCTTATCTTTCATATGTTTTTGATGATATTTCTTTTCCCTTATTTTAGAATTAAGTACTGGGTATATACAAAAGGTTACTTACGAAATATGTCTAAGTGAAATATGTCTAAAGTAAAAAACAGTACAAAAATCCCAGGCTCCCACTACCTAGATGAAGCAGTGCGACATGACCCATTGCTTCTGAAACGCTCCCCACCTGCCCTTCTCCTTCACCCTCTGAGAGAACCACCAGCCTGAAGGTAGAGTTTATCAAGCCCTGAGACAGGAGTTTAAAGAATCGAAGGACACAGCTTTTACTAAAACATGTTGTCTTCTACTTTTTTATGGAAACTAGGTTCTTTCAGCCTGAAATAAACAAAAAAAGAATAAGATTGGTGGTGACGTGTGTTTTATTTACATAACCTTGTAATCATTCATCCATAAACATGTAGATTCATTGAAGTGACAAAAACCCTCCCCCACCGATTGATTTAGGAAATAATGTTGGCAATAAAATGGACTGCTTATCCAGTGTTTATGTTTTGATCAATTACGTACTAATAACAGTTGTAATAATTACCCAATCCAGACGAAGTATTTTAACACAGTTTTACAGTTACAGCATATGAAACGTTTTGAAATCAAAGCTTTTTTGTTACAGAGAAATACAATAGGGCACACTGTATAATTTCAAACAAAGCAATACAGTTCTGTAAGAAAGATGAAATGGAAGTATGACTCTACGAAGTAAGGGAAAAGATGGGAAATTTCTGAGCATTTATTTCTAGATGATGATCAGTATCAAATTATCTTGGTAATTAGAATATACTTAAAATAGTGATGTCATTTTTCAAAGAAGTAATGTTTCATATGTGGTCGAAATTACCTCCTTTGTAACTATTTAAATTCGTGATGAAATGTTTTAGATGTCAGCTTTAAAAATGTCTGAGGCTTTAGAGTTTCTCAGGTTCTTTTAGAGCATATTTAAGAAAAAGAAATAGGAGATGCTATTTGCATCTGGATTTTTGGAGAGACTCCTTGACGTCTGGGCAGCTTGGTGGAAAGGCGTGTTCAGCACTGGTATTTTAGTAGAAGGATAACTGGGTTGGGTCTGACCTTTCTGGATTTGAATCCAGGCCCACTCTGTGCTACTTGCTTCATTTGGGTAAGGTACTGAACCTCTCTGAACCTTCATTTCCTCATCTGAAAAATGGGCAAAGGGAGTATTTTACTGGCCAGGGACTTGGGGCTTATGCACTGATGAGCAGAATTAGGATTCACCCTGTTTTCAGTGAAATCCCTTTGAATTTGAGACCTGGATGCTACCGACAGGTGGAATTTGAAGGCACATCTACCTTACATAGGAACTGAGAATCTCCCAGGGAAAAGGCAGGACCTCTACTCTAACTGAGGTTCTGGATTATTATAAGAGGGAGATTTTCAAAAATGGTCTAATGGAGTGTGGTTTGTTCCATACCATAGATTTCAAGACACCATAGAGCTTCTGGGATGAGATCCCCCATAAAATAGTTATGGTCTGCACCGGCAAACTGGTCTCGGCTCCAAAGACCAAGAGTTGGTTTGTGGTGCTGATTCTGAATCCTTGCGACGCAGCTGTCTGGTGGTAAAATGGCTGTGTATGGGAAGAAAGCTTTCATTGCTGCGGGGCATTCTTTACAAGATAACTTTAAGGGAGGAGGGGATGTTTTCTTTGTTGAAAGATAATTTTCCTAAAAAGGGTAAAATCATAAGTGTTTTACAAATATAAAATGAACACGTGTATTAGGGTTCTCCAGAGGGACAGAACTAATAGGGTGTATGCATACATGAAAGGGAGTTTATGAAGGAGAATTGACTCACACGGTCACAAAGTGAAGTCCCATGATAGGCCCTCTGAAAGCTGAGGAGGAAGGAAGCCAATGGTGGCTCAGTCCAGTGCAGCCTTCAGTCTGTGGCCAAAGGCCCAAGAGCCCCCGGCAAACCACTGATATAAGTCCAAGAGTCCCAAGGCCAAAGAACCTGGAGTCTGATGTCGAAGCGCAGAAAGCATCTAGCACAGGAGAAAGATGAAAGCCAGAAGACCCAGCAAGCCATCTTAGCCCAGCTTCTTCCCATCTTAGCCCTTGCTCTGTTCTAGCCGTGCTGGCAGCCGATTGAATGGTGCCCACGCACACTGAGGGTAGGTGGGTCATCCTCTCCCAGTCCACTGACTCAAATGTTAATCTCCTCTAGCAACATCTTCACAGACACACCCAGAAACAATACTAGCTATCTAGGCATCCTTCAATCCAATCAACTTGACAACTAATGTTAACCATCATAGCATGTTAAAGATTTTATTTTACATATGAATCAATGAAGGAACCAGACATATCATAATGATTCAAAAGATAATTCAAAGAACAGGCACATTTATAGAGTTGTAAAACAGCTGGAAGACACTGAACCAGGCTAGAATCAATAATCCAAAAGGATGTGCTACGTGGAGAAAACATAAAAGTTGCAAAAATAGTTCAAAGAGGAAGCTTAGAATCAAATAGCCTGGAGGGCTGTCCAGAAATGCATAGTTTATTTTATTAAAACCATTTTTTTTCCTATAACTTCAAAAGAGGCTCCTGAGCTGTCACAGCCCCTGGGGAGTCACATTGATTTCTAGTTTAATTAACAGTAAGACCACCTGTTCCATGTTCTCTCTGGTTCTATAAAGACTCATTCCTTGGCCTCTTTAGGTCTAGGATGGGAACAGCTCTTAGCTATTGCTAGTCTTGGGTTTCATCTTAACCCTGCCCAACCTTTGTAAATATTGCCTCCCTTAAACTCTCCTCAACTTAAAATTGGAAGGAGGGAGGGAAGAAGGAAGGAAGAATCACTTCTTGCAGATTCTAGGTGTTATAGACTGAATATTCTGTTTCTCCCCAGTTAACATGCTAAAATTCTCTACGACAAGGTGATGGTATTAGGAGGTGGGGCTTTTGGGAGGTGATAGATTCCTGAGACCTGTCTGAGTGAGATTAGTGCTCTGATGAAAGAGGCAGGAGGGAAGTCCTCTTTCAGTCCGCTTAGTATTGCTGCAAAGGAATACCCAACTCTGAGTAACTTACAAAGAAAAAATTGTTTCTTTGGCTCACAGTTCTGCGGGGGTGGGGGGCATCTGGTGAGGTTCTCAGAAAGCAAAGGGAAGGCAGTGTGCAGAGATCACATGGTGAGTCAGGAAGCAAGAGAGAGTGGAGAGGTGCCAGGCCTTGTTGAACAACCTGCTTGTGGGAGCTAACAGAGTAAGAGCTCACTCATTACAGCAAGGATAGCATCAAGCCATTCATAAGGAATCTGACCCCAGGACCCCAACACCTTCCATTAGGCCCCATCTCCAATATGAATATCAAATTTTAATATGAGGTTGGCAGGAAGACAAACATCCAAGCTATAGTGAGTCTGTAGCCCCTTCTGCCATGTGAGGATGCGATGAGAAGACAGCCATTTATGAGCCAGAAAGTGGGACCTCACCAAACACCAAATCTGCCAATGCCTTAATCTTGGATGTCCCAGTCTCCAGAACCGTGAGAAGTAAATTTCTGTTCTTTATATGTCACCAAATCTGCGGTATCCTGTCATCGTAGCCTAAATGAACTAGAACTCTAGAAAACGGATGATTAGAACAAAAACTGCAAATACACATATAACCATCCCTGGGTCGGGCAATTCCGGGGAAAGACTGGATGTTCTTTTAAATGTACCAGTGGATCCTTTGAGCGCAGAGACGTGTGTGTTTAGTGTGTTTTTTCCAGCCCTGCTGTTTGATCCTGTATGTGAATGTGCCTAGCACAAAAAATACTGGTCTGAAACAAATACTAATTTCCGTCTTCCTTCTCACACGCACCAAACAAAACACTAATAAATAAACCTGATGTGATGATATCTGGGAAGACCTGACCATCTGGATCCATCTATGAAAATGTATTGTCAGGTATTCCTGCTGTTTCTTGTT